AGGAGAGGATGGGCCTGGAATGGAGATTGCCTCTGTGTCATGTTTTTGTTCTCTCACAAAATCTTGGGCAAGTTACTCTTTTTTTTAGGTTTGATCTGAGGGTGGGTTCTTTGGGCGGAGGTTGAGCCTTCCCTCACAAGGAAGAGAGGTACTTTTTGCCTCCAATTGGCCTGTACTTTTTAGATTGGACATGTCCTGAAGGAAGTGTATAGCCCAGTAACTTTCAGAACTCAGCGAAAATGTCCTTGCTAACAACAGCAACGACAGGAAAGAGTCCTTTGGCCCATAAATGAGTTAGTTCCTTGTGAATAAACAGGGTGGCCACTAGATGGAGCTCGAGAGTTTCCTGAGATAAGCGAGAATAGACAATTGTTATTAAAGATCCTGAAGGCCATGTCTAATAAAGTGAAGCAAGAGTTTAGGATTCCTTTACGCTTTTATCTAATGTCTGGAGAGATTTTACTTGTAAAATGTATAGCCAGGTTGTCTTGGCTTTTTGACATACAGCCAGATTAGTGTACTTCTACATGGTTTCAACAAGCCTAGATTGAAAGCAAGTAGGATTCTTGGGAGCATCCCTGTGTTGTCTCCCACAAGGTGTTATAGTTATTAAGTTCAATAATGACCCTTTTCAAAATTTTCTAATAAACAAGAAACTGTCTTGGCGAAACTTTCCTCATAAGTTTCCATTTTAGTGCTCTGAGATGGCCAGTGAAGCTACACCACACCATAACCCTGGCCTAACTAACCAGACTGAGCAGAGCCTTTGGTAGTGATAAATAAAGACTTCTCAAGACCGTCCCCCAGAACTAATTGTAGAGGTCATGAAATTGTGTAAGGCACCTAAGGCATCTCTCTCACAACTGAAGATCATGCTGCAAAGCCATTAAGACTTAGATATAAGGAACCTCAGAGTCTTTTGATAAATTAGAACAAAATAGATCTAATTGTAGATTGTAGTTATAGCTTAATATGCCATGAGGTGGCAGGCATTCTTGAGCTAGGAGTGTGTATAAGGGCCATTTTTTTTACATTTATTTTTATTTTTTTATATTAATCACAGGTTATTTACTTTGTATCCCAGCTATAGCCCCCTCCCTCATTCTCTCTCAATCCCACCCACCCTCCCTCCCTCATTTCCTCCCTGCCCTTTCTAGGTCCACTGATAGGGGAGGTCCTCCTCCCCTTCCATCTGACCCTAGCTTATCAGGTCTCATCAGGACTGGCTACAATGTCCTCTTCTGTGGTCTAGCAAGGCTGCTCCTCCTTCATGGGGGAGGGGGTCAAAGAGTTCGCCATTGGGTTCATGTCAGAAGTAGTCCCTGTTCCCCTTACTAGGGAAACCCACTTGGATACTCAGATACCATGGGTTATATCTGAGCAGGGGTTCTAGGTTACATCCACTGTTTTTCCAAACAAGAGCCAATTTTTTTTTACAAAAGAAAATAAGATATTTTTTTTTCTTTTTAAGAGTGAGAATCAAATTTAGACCAGTTTTTAAGACCACAACCGAGTGTTCAGTAAGAAAAAGTATAAGGATATGAGAAGCCATTGCATGGGTCTGACACAGTTGCATTGTTCACCCAGAGAATATTTCTTGAGGGCAATGAACTACCCCTGTAGTCAGAGGTAAAATCACTGTCACCATACTGACCAGTCTGAAGAATGCTTTAAGCTGGAGCATACTCTGAGAACAGAGACCCTTCTGTTTTTTAAAAGTTAGAGACAATTTTATTATATAGCCATACTCATGCATGTAGTCAATTAACATTGAAAGGAAATCTCCCAGACCAAGCGTGACCACAAAACAGTTCTGAGGGAAAAGAGAGGACTCGTGATCCTGGAGCAGTTAAAAAAAATGGTGGGTATTCCTGTTTAGAAAAGTAGTAGCAAACACTGGGACAGAGAAAAGGAGAGGGACAAAAGAAGGAGGACTCTTCACTATGTGGGAATTAAATCTGGACAAGCTGCCAGCCACAACGCGTGTTCAGAATGGCTTCTTAATCTTACAGATTTATAATGGACTTCCTTTCTTTTCTGCTGCCTTCAATTCCCACCAAAGATTAGCTTTGAGCCAGGCACAGTGGTGCAAGACCAGCCTTGTCTACAGAGTCCAGGACAGCCAAGGCTACAGAGAGAAACTATGTCTTGAAAAACCAGTAATAACAATAATAATAACAACAGTAATAATAGAAGAGAAAGAAGGGGGGGGAAAGAATAGCTTTGGCCAGAGTCTTTAAGTTGCAAACAAAAAGTAAGTTTTTCCACAGAAACCAGAAGGAATTTCTTGATGAGTGATAATTAGTTGAGAGTCTTAGCTCAGAAGCCATTGGAACTCACTGAAAATGCCCCAAGCTTCCTTGGCTGACTACCATAATCACCAGACTGGAGAAAGGTCCAAAGAGGCAAGAATGGGTACCTTCCAGCCACCAAAATGTTGTATTAGAAAGAACAGTGGCAAGCCAAAGGCACCATGGTAAAAGTATTTACCAGACCTGAACAGATAAGGAAATATTAAAGAAACTACAGTAAAGTCTCTAATTCCATGGAATGACAGACTTGTGCTGCTCTCAACCCTGGCTGGGGGAAGCTTCTTACTGCAGAGTCTGGTCATGCAGTTAATGCAGAGACTTTCTAACTTTTCAAAATGCTGAGAATGAGAAATTTTGACTCCTCGGCAGTAGATAGATCATCTATATCAAAACACACACACATGAATGCACACATGCACACACACACACACACACACACACACACACTCATAAAACAACAACAAAAAGTTCAGGGAATAATCTTGGAAGTATGATGAGAAAGAACTTAAGAGCCAGAGGATGGAGAGGTTTACTTCTGAAAGGCCAGCCTCTGGACTTGACATGGTTGCTGTATACATGGATTCAGCAGCTGTGGTTTTTGAAAAAGACCTTCAAAAGATCAAGAGAGTTAAATTCCAGCATGGAGCGGGGTGCAGCTTCCATGCTCCACCCCTCTCTGAGGAGTAATGGCAGTTGATGACTATTGAGGGTGGGCTATTTCTCTTTGTGGGAGGACTTCCATTAGATTGTCCATGCCTCAGTGCATGGACCACACACACACACACACACACACACACACACTGGCAGAATTAATTGAACTTAGTGGATTATATTAAAAATTAAGAGGGTGAAATAAGAAATGGAAGGGTGAGAAGAACTAGAGAGAGGGAAAGGGAAGGATATATATGACCAACACACAGTATATGTATATGTATATGTATATGTATATGTATATGTATATGTATATGTATATGTATATGTATATGTATATGTATATGTATATGTGAAATTACCAAAAAGGAAAATATACTGCAGAGACAGAAACACAGTAAAAAAATTCTTCAGAGAAAGAATCACCCCTTGAAAAGGAATAAAAGTTCTCTTACAGGAAAGTTATTTAGTCTTATCTCATGCCATTTCTGTGGGTCTGTAACTGGATAAGCATGTAAGCATCTCACTATTTTGTTAAGCAGTACATTTCATTAAGTAGCATCCATTTTCTTGAGATTGATCATTTGGGGTACGGTTCATTGGAAGTTTCCTGTTAAGAAGTGAAGAGGTCTTCTTGCTCTTGCAGAGGACCCAAGTATAGTTCCTAGCACCCACAAGACAGCTTACAACCATTTGTAACTCCAATTCCAGTAGATTCATCACCCTTTTCTGGACTCTGCAGGCACAAGAAAACACATGGTCTACATACATACATATAAACACTTATACACATAAAATAAAACTAAATCATTTTTAAAAGAAGTTAGAGTCTAATGTTCATATAAGACATCTCAAGTCACTGAGGTAAGGTTGCAGTTGCTCAGTCAGATTGTTAAAGTGTGGGGAATTTCTGTTTTTATTTTGCTGGGCTTTTTGTCTCTGCACTTGTGTCTCCAGAAAATATCATCTAATAACAGATTTTAAAGAGTTGGTACGGAATGTTTATCATGAACTCACACAAATGACCATTCTAGGGCCTTCAAACTAATGCACTATGTGAACTAAATACTAAATATAATATTTCGAATCACCCAAGGGATGATGACAAATCAGTAGCTGCATTGTAGCAGCTTTCAGCCGCTATGCAAATATGTTTGAGATATTAAGAACATGGGATCGAAAAGCGCATCATTGCACATTGCACATCAATGACTTCCTAGTAAGTCATTTCCTAAAAACGATTTGCTCTATTTTTCGAGGATTTGACTTCTTTTTGTTTTCTGTGGATGATTGTTTGGCATGCATATATGTCTGTTCACCAGTGCGGAGGAGAGAGGGATCATCAGATGCCCTGGAACTTGAGTTCACAAAGAGTTATGAACTAACGGTGGGAGCCCGGAATTGAAGCCAGGCTCCCTGGAAGATCAGCCAGTGCTCTTAAGCACTGAGGGATCCATCTGGGCTCCTGTTTCACTTTTTTTTTAATGATTCCTTTCATTTTGAAGTTATACTATAATTATATCATTCTCTCCTTTCCCTTTACTCTCTCCACACTATCCCATATACCCCTTCTTGCTCTCTTTAATATTCATGGCCTCTTTTTCATGAATTGTTATTATATACATATGTATGTATTCTCCTTCATATTATTCGAAGGAAGACCTAATATAACAATTCCTTTCATTTTTATTAGGCAATATCACTGCAAGAAGTTATTTTATGACACAAAGTAAAACTTTAGGCAACCGTGCTAAGTGAGAGAACATTACCAGAAAGCTGATAATTCATTTTCATTACAGTGAACTTGCCAATATTTTTAAAATATATATTTTACCCACTACTCATTGTATCTCTTGATTATATTCCACTGAAAGAAATAAGTTTTCATGGATTCAACTATACTTCAGCAATAGGCTTTGTGAATACACAGAAATATCCTTTCAGAATGGTTATTGTTAAATCTTAGTCCTGGTTTCCAGCAAAGTTAACTGTATTCTGTAATGGACTTTGTTTAACATTTATTAATAATTCTCTTAGGACCTGCAGACATACCTCTGATAGTACCAGCCAATAATTTGCCACCAATCTACGTTCCTCCTGGTTACATAACTCAGGTATGTTACTGTGGTTTTTGTTTGGTGTTTAAATGTTCATCACTTAACTTTTTTTTTTTTTACTGTGTCACTATATGATAATAGATACTTTACTGTTATCATTTCTTTAAATTTTGTTTTTAACTAAAGCTTTAACTGTAATTATTTCAAGTGTTTGACTTTAACCAAACCTCCCTTAGATTGCCTCATAAATGATACCTAATTTTTTACTGAATTTGGATCACTTAATATTTAATAATCTTCCATTATTTTGAAGAGTCTATTCATCCACCTTAAATGCCATTACAATTCTTATAGTATGGCTTCTGATAATGTATAATCTTTAGTCCTTAAAATCAGTTAGTATTTTCAACTCAGTAGTATTTCATTCTTAAAGGCCTAAGAAAACTTCTAAAATTTCTCAAATAGTTATTGTGCACTTAAAATAGTAGCCAGAGAACACTTCTACTGGAATTAATAAAATATTCAATGGCCTTGGAAATATAGTACCTGAGAAAATGTTTTGTTATTCTCCTTATAGCCTTTGTTTTCATGACAAATTGGGTTGATATTGCATAGTCGTATAGATGCAGAAGATGCTAAACATGATAATATAATGTACTTCAACTCTGAAATTATTTACTTGTTAAAAGGAAAACACCTAGTGAAGATATGAGTGTACAGATGCCTGCACTCAGCAATCCACTTTAAAGAATTTGTAAGACAGACATGTTTACAACTTTGGAATGATACATTATGAAAACGTACATATAGTATTTTTTTACAGTGTTGTTCATAATCACAAAGAGGGTTAAAAATAAATCCGATATCTATAATTGAGTGAGTGAATAATATGTTCAGATAACGATGCACTATAAACCTAAGTGCCTTTAATCTCAACACTCAGGAGGCAGAAGCAGGCAGGTCTCTACCCAGTGAGTTCCAGGACAGCCAGTGCTGCACACTGAGACCCTGTCTCCAAATTAAATACAAAAAGGGGGCAGATTATAAATCTATACGGAAAAGTCTTCAAAGGTATATTACTAAATAAAATAGGAACGTGTGGAATAGTGGAATAATGCTGTTGGGATATAATAAAAAGAAGGAAATAAATTTCAGGAGTGTTCATAAGATATTAACAGTAGTTTCCAATTAGGAAGCATTGAGTAAATAAAGATTAGGAAGGATACTTTTTTTTATTTTTTATTAATTACACTTTATTCATTTTGTATCCCCCCCATAAGCCCCTCTCTCCTCCCCTCCCGATCCCCCCTCCCTCCCCTTTCTGCATGCATGCCACTCCCCAAGTCCACGATAGGGGAGGTTCTCCTCTTCTTTCTGATCTTAGTCTATCGGATCTCATCAAAAGTGGCTGCATTGTCCTCTACTGTGGCCTGATAAGGCTGCTCCCCACTCAGGGGGAGGTGATCAACGAGCAGGCCAATCAGATTATGTCAGAGGCAGTCCCTCTTCCCATTACTATGTAACCCACTTGGACACTGAACTGCCATGGGCTACATCTGTGCAGGGGTTCCAGGTCATCTCCACGAATAGTCCTTGGTTGGAGTATGAGTCTCTGGGAAGTTCCCTGTGTTCAAATTATCTTGTTCTGTTGCTCTCCTTGTGGAGTTCCCGTTCCCTCCAGCTCTTACTATTTCCCACTTCTTACATAAAATTCCATTCACTCTGCCCATCAGTTGGCCATCAGGCTCAGCATCTGCTTTGACAGTCTATACTGCAGAAGCTTTCAGAGGCCCTCTGTGGCAGGTTTCAAGGTTGTTTCCTGTTTTCTTCTGGCTTTCAGAGGCCCTCTGTAGCAGGTTCCGAGGTTGTTTCCTATTTTCTTTTTCTTCTGATGTCCATCCTCTTTGCTTTTCAGGATGGGGATTGAATATTTTAGTTAGGGTCCTCTCTTTTGCTTAGTTTGTTTAGATGTACAGATTTTAGTGGGTTTATTCTATGTTGTATGTTTATATGAGTGAGTATATACCATGCGTGTCTTTTTGCTTCTGGGACAACTCACTCAGGATGATCCTTTCCAGGTCCCACCATTTACCTGCAAATTTCATGATTTCCTTATTTTTCATTGCTGAGTAATACTCCATTGTATAGATGTACCACAGTTTCTGCATCCATTCTTCAGTTGAGGGGCATCTGGGTTGTTTCCAAATTCTGGCTATTACAAATAAAGCTACTACAAACATGGTTGAGCAAAATCAAAGACCTCAACATAAAACCAGACACATTAAATCGGCTAGAAAAAAAAGTGGGGAATACCCTAGAACTCATTGGTACAGGAGAAAACTTCCTGAACAGAACACCAACAGCACAGGCTCTAAGAGCAACAATCAATAAATGGGACCTCATGAAATTGAAAAGCTTCTGTAAAGCAAAGGACACCGTCATCAAAACAAAGTGACTGCCTACAGATTGGGAAAGAATCATCACCAACCCTTCATCTGACAGAGGACTAATATCCAATATATATAAAGAACTAAAGAAGCTGAAAAGCAACAAACCAAGTAATCCACTTAAAAAATGGGGAGCAGAGCTAAACAGAGAATTCTCTGTAGAGGAATATCGAATGGCAGAGAAGCACTTAAAGAAATGCTCAACCTCATTAGCCATTAGGGAAATGCAAATCAAAACAACCCTGAGATTTCACCTTACACCCATCAGAATGGCCAAGATGAAAAACTCAAGGGACCACACATGCTGGAGAGGTTGTGGAGAAAGGGGAACCCTTCTCCACTGCTGGTGGGAATGTAAACTGGTACAACCACTCTGGAAATCAATATGGCGCTTTCTCAGACAACTAGGAATAGCGCTTCCTTAAGATCCAGCCATACCACTCCTAGGCATATACCCAAAAGAGGCGCAAGTACACAAAAAGGAAGGATACTTTTAAATTATATGTTGTATTTTAAGGTTTTGAAATGCATAAGAAATTACCTTTTAAAAAAAAAAAGAAAGCTAGCTATAGCAACACATGACGGAACATTTTTTTTTTTTTAGAAATTTGAGATTAGATGATAGTATGATTTTTTTATTTTTTTATTTTTTATTAATTACACTTTATTCATTTTGTATCCCCTCATAAGCCCCTCCCTCCTCCCCTCCCGATCCCACCCTCCCTCCCCTTTCTGCCTGCATGCCCCTCCCCAAGTCCACTGATAGGGGAGGTTCTCCTCTCCTTTCTGATCTTAGTCTATCAGTTCTCGTCCAAAGTGGCTGCATTGTCCTCTTCTGTGGCCTGGTAGGGCTGCTCCCCCCTCAGGGGGAGGTGATCAAAGAGCAGGGCAATCAGATTATGTCAGAGGCAGTCCCTCTTCCCATTACTAGGTAACCCACTTGGACACTGACCTGCCATGGGCTACATCTGTGCAGGGGTTCTAGTTTATCTCCACGAATAGTCCTTGTTTGGAGTATGAGTCTCTGGGAAGTTCCCTGTGTTCAAATTATCTTGTTCTGTTGCTCTCCTTGTGGAGTTCCTGTCCTCTCCAGCTCTTACTATTTCCCACTTCTTACATAAAATTCCATTCACTCTGCCCGACAGTTGGCCATCAGGCTCAGCATCTGCTTTGATAGTCTGCAGGGCAGAGGCTTTCAGAGGCCCTCTGTGGTAGGTTCCTAGTTTGTTTCCTGTTTTCTTCTTCTGGCTTTCAGAGGCCCTCTGTAGCAGGTTTCTAGGTTGTTTCCTGTTTTCTTCTTCTTCTGATGTCCATCCCCGGAACATATTTTAATCCCAGTACTCAGCAGGCAGAAGCAAGTAGATCTCTGTGAGTTCAAGTCAGCCTGGTCTGCACAGTTAGTTCTGAAAATTTCATCGTGAGACACTGTCTCAAAAGAAATCAAGCTACCTGGGAAAAAAATGAATGATCTTACCTTCTTGACTATTGGTCCGTGATGCTTTAGGTTTCTAAATTAACAGCATATGATATATATCTAAAACGTAGTCATTTCTACGGATTTTAATGTGTACATCTGATTCCATTTTAGGTAGTGGAAGAAAATGGAATTCAAAAAATCATCGTTATGCCTCAGACACTTGACTATCAGATGCCTGTGGTAGCTCCTGCGCAACAACCCTTCACAGCAGCACCACCGCTCACATACCCGTCAGCCCCTCAACTTTTGTACTCCCCAGCTCAAGGGGACTTTCCAATAACTTACATCCAAGAATCTGTTCCGCAGCAAATGCCGCCACCTCCACCACTACCACCGCTGCCAATGCTACCACCACCACCACCATTTATCTACCAGGAACATCTTGGTAATACATACTTTTCTTCTATTCCAATTTTATTTTTTATTTGTATGAAGTGTTTGTCTGAAATGTACATCTGTACACCATGTGTGTGTGTGCAGTACCTGTGGAAAACAGAAGAGGGCATCAGATCCCCCTGGAACTGAAGTTAGACAGTGGTTAGCTGCCATGTTGGGGCTGGGAATTGAACCCAGATCCTCTGCAAGAGCACGCAGAGGTCTTAACCACTATGAGATCTCTGCAGCTGCAGTATATACTTTTCTTAAATGCCAAGCATTGTCACTGGTTGAGATCCAAACACAGACGTGATATGGGAGTACGAGTGAGTCTGTCTGGGAATTGAGAATGCTGTTCAGTTAGCAGAGTGCTTGTGCGGCGTTCACAAAGCCCTGGGTTTCATCCCCAGTACCACAGAAAATGAGACATGGTGGCACATGCCTATAATGTCAGCATTCTCCATATGGAAGGAAAAGGATTCATCTGCTAGGGTTTGAGGCCTGCCTTGGATACATGTGATGTTTTTTTGGCTCAAGAAGAGGAGGAGTAAGATGATGATGATGATGACAACAACTATCTCAAAAACCAAAACAAACAAACAAAAAAAACAACCAAACAGAAAAGAGCAGGAGGGGAGGGGAAAGAACTAGGAGGGTAAGGGGGAAATATGGGCAAAGTATGTGATATACTTTTCCGAAGATGTTTTTGTGACGCATATCACTACATGCAATGAATATGTGCCAGTCAAAACAGAAAATTTTACAAAAGTGGAAAGAATACGAAATTTTCAGTTTGTTAAAAGCAAACAGATTTGGACAGTTATTAAAGTGGAAAAAAGCAGAGGATGATAACATTTCCATGAATGGTTGCATATCATGCATATATCTTAGGACTGATGATAATCTATAGGTAAAATGCTTATAAATGTTGAAAGTTTATGACCTAGGTAAAAAATACTCATTAAACCGAATTTTTATAAGTATTTGTTTAGTTTCTATATAGCATGTAATTTGTGATATATATTTTTCCTGACTGGTCTATAAAATTAGGTTGGAAAATCATAAAAATCTTGACTATTAATGCTATCTACTGAGAATATAAGAGACACTGGAGGACTGTCATCACAATCATCATAAGACCTAAGATTTGAAAGTGAAGTTACTAGGAAAATACTGTATTTGCTCAGGTATTTTTTTGTGCCTATCCTTATATCATAAATACATATACACAGAACATATACATAAATACTGAATATTTAGATTGAAGCAAAGTAAGAAAAACTTTTAAAGTAAAGCATGATTATTTATCAGTGATCTTTTGATGGTTAGGTGAAAGAAAGAACTTAAGAGAATATGATAATTATGATGACTGAACATTATCACATGGTCTCTTTTAGAAACCTACTCTCATGAAAGAGTAAATCATAACCAGTTTGATGAAAAGACTGTTAAGATGGGAGAATATTCAAAGAAGAAAATGAGAGATTGCCAATTTGATGAACATAAAACCAGCTCTCTGTTTAAAGATGCCCCTTTGCTTCTGAACAAAGCTGTAGACATGCCTGGTACTTCTGCTGCTCTCTTTCCTTGCACTGTGGATACTGCTCCAGGCACTCACACTGACAACAAAATCACTAGTTCTTCTGATCATGCCCCTAGCACTTCTACCTCAAACACCACTTTTTGCTCTGACGTCATGAACAGTGCTCCAGGTCCTTCCAGAAGTAATTACAATCCAGTCACCTCTGACGGAACTCACAAATCATCAACTACTGATAGTATTCCAAGCTATGCTTCCAAGGCTGCTTGCAATGCTTTCACCTCGGAAAATGCTCATACCTCCTCTTCAATTAATAAGACTCTCAGACCTTCCGGTTCTGCCAGCATTTCCAACAATACCTGGTCTTATACTGGAAACACTCATGAAAAGAGAGAAAATAATATGGGAAGTGGAGACAATAAGCAGAATTCAGGTGGAAAACAGAAAATTCAGTCATCAAATTCAGCACTGAAAGGTACATCCAGGAATCCAATTTTGTTGCCGATAAGTACTCTCAACGTGTTTTTAAATAAATGTCTATCACACATAATCATTTATTTAGCCTTTGTATGTGAATGAGGAAAATGAGAGGGCAATTTGGGGGGATTTGTTTTCTTTTTTCAAACGTGCAGATCCCCAGTTCAAACTCAGGTATAGCGCTGGGGGCAAATCACCTTTACTCACATTCTCTGCTTCTGCTTCTTCTGTACCTCATTACAGCTGCACCTACATTTTTTCCAATCTGTTTTGAATTTATTATTAGTTGACAAATAATAAGCCTACATTTATAAAGTACAATGTGACAATTTGACACATACTTATATATGTAACATATAAATATAATGTGGAAGTAGTAAATGAAGCTAACTAACATCCATCTTCTCACTTACCAATTAGGGTTGGTTTTTATTTTTTCTTTTTCTATGTTGAAGCATTTTAAATGTATGTTCATTAAATTGAAATATACCTTATATTGACTAGAGTCACCCTGCCATGAAATAGCTCTCAAAACCTATTCCTCCAATATGAAATTTTATTTCCTTTGATCAGGAAGTACCCATACTCTTCCACACTGCTCCTATTCTCTGATGTTTCTTTCAATGTTACTAAATTCTACATGCAAGTGAGATCATGACATATTTGTTTTTCTGGGCTTACCTTATTTCATTTAGTGTAATGTCCTTCAGGTTTACATATGTTGTAGCAAACTGGGACTTTTATTCTACCTTTGAAGTCCAAATAGTATATGCAGAACTCATAATTAGGCTGTCTTTTAAAATCATAAAGAATGTTAGAATGTATCTCAATGGTGAAGTGTGTGTATAGTATGCCAAAATCCCCGGATTAAATTCCTAACAACACACACACACACACACAACTACACATGAAATGGTAATAATAATAATAATAATTCCTTGAATGTTTTTCTAGTTGTTTTCTAAGAAAAATTGCAAATTTCAACTCTTCTTAGTTTGTCTGGTTTTACTTAAATAATTTATAAATATCCTTAGAATTTAATACATATTTTGACCAGGTTCTGTTTTAAATATTATAAAGTATAATAAGGTCTTAGTAGTTTTCATAGTGATGATATATTTGTAGTGTGATAACAGACATAACTCTTTTCTCTTGTTTGTGTCAATATATTATTTTGTTTGAACTGTTTTTTTTTCTCACTTTCAGAACACAATACAAAATACAGAATACAGCCATGCTCTTTCAACATTGAAAAACCTGTGGTAAGTAACAAAAGTGATGATTTCATCTTCTTTTACCTTTTCAGTCCAAACCATGAAAATTCACTACTATTTTTCTTTGAAACATTTACTGGGTTAAAATTCATGGCAGTTCAGTGTCCAAGTGGGTTACCTAGTAATGGGAAGAGGGACTGCCTCTGACATAATCTGATTGGCCTGCTCGTTGATCACTTCCCCCTGAGGGGGGAGCAGCCTTACCAGGCCACAGTAGAGGACAATGCAGCCACTTTTGATGAGAACTGATAGACTAAGATCAGAAAGAAGAGGAGAACCTCCCCTATCAGTGGACTTGGGGAGTGGCATGCATGCAGAAAGGGGAGGGAGGGTGGGATCGGCAGGGGAGGAGGGAGGGGCTTATGGGGGGATACAAAATGAATAAAGTGTAATTAATAAAAAAATATATATATATAAACAAAAAAAAATTTTCATAGTCTTCATCAGCAATGCAATAACCCAAGGTGGAATTATTAAAGATAGGATTAGTGGCTAATTATTTACTTAATTACTTATTTAATTAGTAAATAAGTATTTAAGCACCTAATATGGGAATTACACATAATATCAAATGAAACTTTTAAATAAGGCTGTATTCAAGATTACAGATTAATCTGAGCATGGTGGCACATGCCTTTAATCTCAGCACTCAGGAAGGCAGAGGCAAGCAGATCGCTGTGAGTCTGAGGCCAAGCCTGGTCTACAAAGCAAGTCGAGGACAGCCAAGCTACACAGAGAAACCCTATCTCAAAAAAAAAAATACAGATTATCATTATACTACTTGCATTTTCTTCATTTCAGGTTTCTAATATTCAAACACGTTCTGCTATTATTTCATGGAGTCTGAACAGTACTGAGAAATACGATATTAATTCTCCTATGATATTTGAGTTGGCACTGTCTAGCAGTGGTAAAAATGGAATCTATAAAAACATTTATACGTAAGTCTTTTTCATTTTGTCTCATTATTTAATTCAAATATACTGTATAAACATAAAAATATAGTCATTGTGCTCCAACTTATATCTAGGCTGAATTCTTCATTTTTGCCTAAATTCTTTTTGACAGGGGTAAGTTTCTAGTAGTAGGTTACCTAATCAATCCACAAAGCCCATTATGATTATTTTATGTTATTTAAATATCAGTTCATCAGCCAGGCAGTGATAGTACACACTTTTAGTTCAAGCAGATGGAGGCAGATCTCTGAGTTGGAGGCCAGCCTGTTCTACATAGTGAGTCTAGGACAGCCAGAGCCACACAGAGAAAAACCAAAATAAATTAAATAATTAATTTAATTAAATAACTAAGTAAGTAAGTAAATATATGCCAGCTCATCCATTTTCAGCTACAGGCTTCCTATTAGACAAATTTGAACTCAAAGATAAAAAAATAAAAATAAAAACTCCAGGTCCTCCTTTCACTTGGTTCATTTTAGAAACAAAAAGCCCCACATGATGGTATCTTTGGGTAAAGTAGTGAGATAATTTACATTTCAGTAATAATTCAAGATTTGGACTCTACTAAGAATCTCATTCCTGGAGCTGGTTATAAGAAAGAATTTGTAACAATAGCAAGATAAGTTCGGGGATGTGAATCAAAAGATAGAGCCAGGACTAGGGAGAATACAATGGATAATACCATGAATATATCCAGATGTTCTGAACAGCAGCCAGCCTGGATGAGAATGTAAACAGAGAGAGACAGGGAAGAAAAGACATGCAAATATAGGGGAAAGGACAATTATATACCCACGGATCAGTTAGTAAGTGGGCCACAGAATCATATACAATACTTTGAAAATAATACCTACCAATTTTATTTTCTAGAATTTGTCATCTTCAGCCAGAGACTTGGAGTGAAAATGGGAATTTATGTAGTTTTATTTCTTTGATAATTAGGTAAAATTGTGAGATTTAAAAATCACAACCAACAATCCTCTCTATCCTATCTAGGGGAGACGGGGGAAATGCAAAATTAACTTGAATGGAAATATTTTTCTGGTATGACATGTACTTTACAAGTATCACTAGTTTAAAAAGAAATAAAACTTAGCTGTCAGCATTGGGAGGAGGAGGAAGAGGAGCCACAGCAGGGAGAGGGGGTTTCCTGGTGGTTTACATCTCTGATTACTCTTCACTTTGAAGTACTCTTCACTTTTTAGGCCTTTGCCTAAAAGTATCAACATCTTCCATTTTTAGAGGGGTCTTTTTAGGATCTAGAGCTAGAAGGAGTTCCTTGGTATGGTGGAGCACGAAGGTGCTTGTAAGTGTTTGCTCAGGAAGACGTAAATACAGGAATATAATCTTACTGTTTGTGTAACAGATGGGATCCTACCCAGAAACATGAATCCCTCTGAAACTGAATAAATGAATTGCGTGAGACATGGTGTTCTTTGAAGTTTTGGTATCTACATTATTTTAATGACCTACTTAAAGGCAAATCTGTACTATTTCAGTTAAATATATGCGGTAGTAAAATGCAAATGGACTGCTCTGAATTAGTAATATAATTTTGGTGTGTGGTACAAAGATTTACTGAACGAAGGGACAAGCCAAACTTGGTACTTTTGGTGGCTGCTTTCCTGATGACTACCAGCACCTTCCCACCCTCTGAACTTGAGCACCTGCCTTCGAGACCTCAAGCAGCCCTGAGGTATGTCCACTAGCTGGTGAAAACCACATACCTCCCAGATCATACCATCCCTCAAAAACTTGATATGCTTGGTGAAGCGCCGCTACTCCTCAATGGAGGCTTCAGCCAACTAATAACGTTATTTTGCACAGATATAATGTGGTTTAAAGATAGCCAAGCTTCAAGGAAAACTGTGGTTCATTGTCAGCTATTCAGTTATCATGAAACTAGGAAGAACTGCTTGCTTAGCTGTTAAATATATGTGAGATCCCATATAAACAAAGGTTATCTTCACAGTGGTGGTGGAGTTACTGTAGCCCTACGTGATCTACAACCTTGCATGCTGTACTTTTTAAGGTAAGAACTCTGTCATACAAGACCTACCACCAGCCTGTGGCCAGCCAAGAGTCCTTAATCTATGAGTTTAGTGCTTAGAATTCCTGAAGTCAGTCTAGCTCTTTGCCAGCAAAGTGGCCTTTCCTTGCAGCTTCAAATAACCTGACCTGCATGCTCACGTAATTACGCAACCATAGTTTAGACTCATTAGGTTACCAAAAAAAGAAAATCGATGAAAAAAGAAAGTGGGGGAAGAAAAAAAAAGGATCAGTGAGAGTGGGTAGGGAACAAAAGAGCATAAGGGAAAGGGGAGCATTAGCATATATTAAAATGACATACTGAAATCCATTACTATGTATAATTAATATATGCTAACAAACGAAACAACAACAAAAAATGTGTCTAGAAACACACGCTTGCAACTCGGTACTTGAAAGTTTACAACAATTGCTGTTACCCTTTCAGAGTTACGACCATAAGAGGCACAGAACACCGAAGTGTGTCTGAAGTGGTTAGCTTCACAACACCAGGCTGTGAACCAGACCCTCCTCTTGCACCCAAACTGATTAACAGAACCAAGAACAGCTTGAATTTACAGTGGAAAGTAAGGATTTTACTGATGAAAGTGTCTCAACGTGATTTTCAAACACTATCCTGTATTCTGAACTTTAAAGACAGATTACGCATGCTTTATCTAACTCCAGTGCTTTTCACAGTGATCTTTCTCTTCTGTCTAAGAGATCATGCTACAGGCCAGGTGGTGCAGGCTTGTAATCCCAGCACTCAGGGAGGCAGAGGCTGGTGGATCTCTGTGGGTTTGAGGCCAGCCTGGTCTATAGAGTCAGTTCCAGGACAGCCAAGGCTACACAGAGAAAGCCTGTCTCTTAAAACAACAACAAAAGAATTGTGATTCTAAGAGATCATGCCAAGTGAATTGAGAAATGTCGATATAATTTTGATAATTAATAAAAAGAGAACTGCAGTTAAATTTGGGGGTTAATCATCCCAGTTACCAATAAGTCTACCTTTCCATGTTTTTAGATATTCCTTTTAATTGCTTCCTTTTATGCAGTCTGGAAACATGAAGTATAGAATCAGGACGTGTCTTGTAGACTGAAAAATGTGTTTTAACCTTAAATCCAAATTGTCATAAAAGTAAAATATCCAAAGACAAACTTTTACAGTAATTTATACCACTTTCATTGTGTATACATACATATATAATATTTGTGGCACATATATGTACTATATAAAAATAACCCAAAATAATTTATCATTATCATCTTTTCAGGGTTCCAATGATAATGGATCCAAAATAAGCAGCTTTCTTTTGGAATGGGATGAGGTATGCACATTTATTTTTAATTATATTTTTATTAAAAATATTTTTTCCATATAATATATTCTAATTACTGTTTCCCCTCCCCTCCCTATGTCACCTCTATACAAATCCACACCCTTACTTGTTCTCATTAGAAAACAGGCATCTGAAAACAAAAAGATGAAAATAATAATACAGTAAGATAAAATAAAAACAAACAAACTTGAATAAGATACAAGAAACAAATGAACAACAACAACAAAAAAGGAGTCAAAGAAAAAGCATAAGGAACATATATAGGCACAGAGATACACACATTCGTACACACAAAATCTTTTAAAGATACAAACTCAGAAAGCATAATATATAAGCAAAAGACTTGTAGGGGTTTTTAATGCCAGACAAAGCTTTATGAGCCAAAAAAAAAAAAAAAAACTCCAAAATTACCATTGGGTTTGTTGTTGTTGTTGTTGTTGTTGCCCAACTACTGCTGGGCATACAGCCTGCCCTTAACTGTGGTTTGTACACCCAGTGAGACTCCATTGTAAGAAACTAATTTTTTTCTTTGCAAGCGGTTATCAGTTGGAGACAGCTTCTGGATTAGGGATTAGGGCTTGTTTCTAGCTTCCCTTAACAGTGCTTGTTTCCAGCTCCCTTTCCGTCAGAATAAGGCAGGCCTCCCAAAGATAACCAAACATGCATATAAGACTAGGAACATATCTTCATATCAAGCTAGATGAGACAACCCAGTAAGAGAAAAAGAGTCCCAAGAGCAGGCAAAAGAGTCACACACACACACACACACACACACATACACACACACACACACACACACACAGCCACTGTTAGGAATCTCACAAGAACCAAGCTAACAGCCATAACATATACATAGAGGACCTGGTGCAGAACACTTTGGGGTTTGAAAGGACTAAGGTACTTTCTCAAGACCCCATCGGGCTTAGACCTGATGCACAGTTATTTTTTAAAATCACCTGATTGTGAATGATTAATGCTATGGTGAACATATGTTAAGTGTGATGTTTTAAAACATTCTAATATTTTTATATGCATTGTCAAGGGTAAAGGTGAAGACTTCAAAAGTTGTTACAGTGGCCCCATGAAACAGCACAAGATCATTAAACTGCGTGCTTCTACAAAGTATTCATTCAGATTAGCTGCCAAAAATAACTTTGGCTGCAGGTACATTGAATTTTTTTGTACCATTGAAAATCTGCTTTTTAAAGTCTGAAATACTGCATTCAGATCCTGAAACTAATGTTTTCATATTACCATATTCTTTCAGTAATTTCAGTGAAATAGCGGTCTTCTATACATCAGGGAACACACCTCCAACACCGCTGCCACCTAAGCTGAAAGAAGCAGGGGTCTACAGTTTGTCACTAGAATGGTGTGCCCCGAAAAACCTAAGCCCAAATGACATTGTTACTTATGTGCTAGAGATGGATGAAGCAAAATATGTAAGTTTTCCTTTTTTAAATACTATGGTCTAAATTTAGCCTCAGCGTTCAATTCTTTTTTATACTCACTTCTCACTTGGGGAAAAAAAAAAAAAAAACAACCTTGATTCCCTGTGTTCTGAATGGGATCAATGCAGAGCCACTGTTGGGCAAGTCTGCATAGGCCTCCTTATCCCCAAACTAGCTTAATGCAAGAACAGCACCTCCATGTCTCTAGCTCCAGGCCTGTTCTGGATGACTCCCTGTGGTCACAGATACATTTCAGCACCTTCACAGAATTCTGCCAAGCTATGTGCTTTCTTCATCTCAGTTTCCTCCTGCGGGTGGGCAACTACTTCATTCCACTCTGAACTTCCAAATCTGTGTCAAAGAGCTAGTCAATTTAAAAAACAACCATAAATTACTGTGTACATGTTACCAAATTTTAAATAAAGCAGATAACATTGAGGTATGTTCTGGGTTGTAACTAATAGGCTAGTTGCTTTCGTGTGTGCTATCTTATTAAATCTTGAAAAATAGAACCATTGAAATAGAAATTCTGTCCATTTTTTTATTTAAAATAGATTCTTCTCTCATATAATACAGTTTCCCTGACCAGTTTCCCTTCCCTCCACTCCTCCCTCTATACTCCTCTGTACCCCAGATATAACCTCCCTTTCCGTCAGAATAAGGCAGGCCTCCCAAAGATAACCAAACATGGCATATAAGACTAAGAACATATCTTCATATCAAGCTAGATGAGGCAACCCAGTAGGAGAAAAAGAGTCCCAAGAGCAGGCAAAAGAGTCACACACACACACACACACACACACACACACACACACACACACAGCCACTGTTAGGAATCTCACAAGAACCAAGCTAACAGCCATAACATATACATAGAGGACCTGGTGCAGAACACTTTGGGGTTTGAAAGGACTAAGGTACTTTCTCAAGACCATTCAGGTAGACAACAGATTGAAGCTATACCTTGAACCTGGGCTTTCTTCCTAAATTTTATTGTCCTCCATTTTCAGGGATTAGGTTTTAAACCTAAATACAATGGAGAGGACCTCTGCTGCACTGTAAGAAATCTTCAGAGAAATACTACATACAAGTTTCGGGTATGTGGCATGACTTATAAACTGGTGTTGTGCTTGCATATAAGATCACTGAAGAAAGCCAACTGCTGGTGCTTTCCTTTGAAATGAAACTTTACTTTGCATTTAACTCTTGTAAGTTCTCATTCATCTGGCACACTATACATTCTTATGCCAGACATTTATTTCCAGTGATCAACAAAATATTCTCTTTTACTCAAACAGATTTTTGCCTACAATCTGGAAGGAAGAAGCAACTCCAGTGGAGAAGTAAGATATAGTACTCGTCCAGCTAGCCCTGGATGCCCTAAAAAACCATATGTCATGGGAGCAATCCAGGCACGTCAAGTGAAAATTGGATGGGGTAAATAATGCTTCTGTGTTTAAACTTTGTTTTCTCAATATTAGTATTTATTACTGAGGAGAAATCTTTCTGCAACTGCCCTAAGCAAAATATTGTCATTTGCCTGTGAAATATTCTGCCATATGAATGAGTTTAGTTGTAAACCCTATTTTTTTTTAATTTGCTACTGAATTTCCTATTGCTAGCTTAACACATGAAAAACTGTTGAACTTTGTATGGATCCTTAAATAACATTCTAAGTGAAATGTATTGATATCCAACATAAGGACCATAGTTAGAAGTCTGTGTCAGAGATAAATGTCAGCTTAACGAGAAATTATATTTATGCAAATTTATTACCTCTAAACTAGGAAAGTGATAATTATTCCACATACACTCATCATTTCAGTCTCTTCCCAAGAACTTTGAAATGCTCTCTAAATGACTGATGAGTGATATCAAATGTCTATAGCTTGTATTATGTTGAGATTATTAGTATATAGATATTAATATAACAGTGTGCCATGATAACATTTTATGAGATAAAATTTTAGTGAAAGACTTGTGTTTTCAAGAATCACTTACAAATTATTTCTCCTCTTAGACTCACCCAAAGATAATGGTGGGATGAACATTTCAAGTTACAGTTTAGAAGTTAGTGAAAATTCAAACGGTGGTAAGGCAATACAAATTTTAAAAGATTTTCTTTTGGTATAATCTTACACTCATCTAGAAATTATGAAAAAAAATAGATTTCCCCTGTAAAATTTTCACTTAGCTTCACCGAATAGCAGCATCTTATGTAACCATAGTACAATTATCAGAACGAGAAAATTGGTATTAATACACACCTATAAACCAAATCCCAGAATGTAATTGGATTCCTTTGGGTTTTTATAAGAAATAACTATTTACTGATCCCTTATACTTTTTGTTTAATTCTACTGGGAATGAAATTATTTTAACAATCATAAAAAAAAATTATTGGATCAAGTTCTTTTCCAAAATGGTTGTTTCTTAGCACACACAAACACACACACACACACACACACACACACACACACATTGCATACATTAGTTGTTAACAGGGTTTATAGATAATTTATGAATAAATTGAACCAATTTTTTTTCAGCGAATCTCTGGAACATAATCTACAATGGCACGCTACAAGAATTTCTGTATGATGACCTCCAACCAGGCACCACATATAAACTGAGAGTCTTTTGCACTTCATCTATAGGCCAAAGCCAGGTAAGAAAGCAGAAAAAGTCTTCAAATTGAATATTGAAATAAACTGTTATATTATTAAAAGTCTTCCAAAGCTGATCTTGAATTGAGTATAGTAGTAAAATGCTTCGTTCGTATTTCTCTTAGCCTTCAGAGGTATTGACAATTCAGACACCTACTCTTCCTCCTGAGTCTTGCCGTTCACTGTCCTTAAATGGTAAAACAAAGGGCAAGAACAACAACCTTCTCCTTGGTAAGTAATGCTTCCTATGTGATTGACAACTGTCCTTAAACTTCCTGTCCTGTGACTTTTGTTTTGTTTGCATGTGCTAATATTATCAACTACAGTTTCCTTTTAGTACAGAATTGAATAATTCTTAGCAAACCAACTCTTGGTGATTGAAAACCAACTTTCTAATGTCTAAGTGAAATTATGAACTTAATTGATACAATGAGCTTTGAGTCTCTAAGTATTTTAAAAGTTTTCTTAATTCACTCTACCATATGTTGTATGTTAAAGAAACATCACTAAAGACTAGAGACTTAGTGTGGAGCTAGATGATAATATGTGTGCTTAGTATTCACAAAACACAGGGTTCAGTCACTAGTACAACGATAAGTTTGGGGGGGAAACTGAGGGCATTTTATATATGTTCTAGACAAACGTTCTGCTAATGGGAACTTGGAAACACCTTTGCGTGGCAAAAAATCAAAAGGTCCTCGGAATGACAGAAAGGAGTGCCCCAACTCTGAAAAGAAATGTGCAGTAAGTACATTGATTCCCGCAAAAACCCACAGTTTCTGGTTACAAACATAAAACAGGAGTAGAAAGTTATATCATTTTGGTGGCCCACTTGTGCTTCATGTCACTTTGAATGAATACATGCTTGCAGTGTACTTTGCTGTCAAGGTGAGGAGTGACCACGCCTGCAAAGTCGTGCATGTGTTTGTTGATTTGTATGTCTGTTTAATTTGTAGCTTGGATCTCAGGCAATGAAGTGTGGAACTGTACAAGCCTGGCACCCTCCTTCTCGGTGTGGTACACCTGTGCTAACCTGCAAGGCTCCAACCTGTGTTATTGTCAGTTGGGAAGTATGTTACCAATTCAACACTTTATTCATTTTGCTGATACACAAACACGTTAATCATTTAGAGCATTTTGGGGAGAAAAATGAAATGAATCAAATTAAAGTTAGATCCCAGAACCCTCAGACCATGTTTCTAAAGCATACCTAGGACCCAATACCACTCAGATCATGAAGACTACATAACTAATAATCTGCTCTTCGAATCTCAACGAACATTTGGGGACCAAAGTAAACTAATTGAATTTTGGGTAACTAATTGAATTTTTAAAGCTACTGCAAGAGACAGTGAAGGTAAAGCAATTTTTAAGAAGTTTAATTTTCTATGGCTCTAAGGACTGGTCTCAGGGCTTCATACATGCTAGGCAAGAACTCTACTTCTGAACAATAGCCCCAGCCCAGATTAGTATCTTTTGAAGAACTTCATTGGGAAATCTTCTGGCACTCTAATACATAACTACAATGTGGTACGTACACAGTGTTTAAGATTTAAAAATATACTTGTACAGCCATGTGAATGTCTTACCAAACTAATTAAACTTTTAAAAATAAAGAATTAGCCTAATTAGTTAGGCATATAGGTTTATTTAGGTTATTCTTTTTTCCCCCTAATCTCAAGCAATGATGTATCTTTTTTAACCTTGACACAAAAGGCTTAGTCTGTTAATAATGCATGACAGAACTGATTATTAAACTAATAAAGGCTAGATCACCAGGGCATGTGACTTATCATACTAACCAATGATAATTTTAAACAATATTAATACATCTGTTTTCATTCCTGTAATATGTGGAATTAGTAAGTCCTTTTTCTTACTTTAATTTGTGTCTTTCAGTGTTACTACAGTGTCCTGCCTGTGTTTGTTTCTACACATCTCCATCCTGTATCACTTGATGGATTACAAGATTTCATGTGCTATTTTTCTCCCGAGTATCTAATACGGTGATCGCTTAGAAAAAGAATTGAATTTCTGTGTCTGTTCCATCTTTCAGATTCCTAAATGCAATGGTTCTGAAATCACTGATTACCGACTACAGTGGGGGCAAGTTGAAGATTCCATGAATTTGATTTACACTGGCCCTTGTCTGAGCTATGAAGTTAAAGGTCTTATTCCGGCAACCACGTATTTTTGCAGAGTCCAGGTAAAGCTGACATTTCCTTCACTATAAAGAGGGCAACAGCTATTAACCTATATGTCCCACATATTTAATACTAGAGACATTTCCAATGTAAATACCAGAGTAGAGTCAAGAAGGGAAGGATTTTCACATCATGAATATTGCTTATATTTAACAACAGCATTTGGGGTTCCTTCTTTTGTTATTTAAAGGCCACGTGATTTCACATGTATTTCCCATTCCATCTTGATATGCCATATTTCCTTTATACTTTTCTGTTTTTCAATTTTTTCTTAACTTAGAAATTACCTAAAATGCTTATTAAAAACACTGAGTGACTCCAGCCAGGCTAGTAGTACATGATTCTCAGACTTTTGGAAGCTGATGCAGGAGGGTTTCCACATATTTGAGATCATCCTGGGATAGTAAGTTTAGGGCTAGCCTGGGGTACAGAGTAAGACCCTCTCTCAAACAAATATACCTCATTCAGGCCAATGTAATCAGATTTTGTTGGTGGTGGTGATGGTGATGATAGTCTTGGTGTTGGTGTTGGTGTTGGTGTTGATATTGGCATGGTGGTGATTGGTTGGTTGGTTTTGGTGTTTTGACACAGGATTTCTTTCTGTAGCCTCAGCTGTCCTGGAACTTTCTCTGTAGACCAAACTGTCCTTGAACTCAGAAATCCAACTGCCTCTGCCTCTCAGAGTTCTGTGATTAAAGGTGTGTCCTGCTATTGCTTGACCAATTAGTTCCTAATCTCCAAGTGTGGTACTCACTATATTTAAAAAGCATGTACAATGACTGCAAGAAGAAAAGACAAAGGTTCTCAAAGTCAAGGACAAGTTTATTTTGAGATCAGTTTGGACAGACTCTGATCAGAAGTCAAGACATCAGACAATGAACTTCTTTTACTTTCTAAGGTTGTTAAAAGGCTTGGGTTTTGAAAGCGGCTACTTGGGTGGGGGGGGAGGGGGTGCTGGGAATTTTCCTGAATGATCAAAATGGTTTTATTGGTTAGATGAGATGGTGTTAGTGATTAAACTGTGATGTGCAAGAATGGTATATTTAGTTAAAGTCTGGCTTCAGAAAACTGAAACTATTTCTTTCATGAAAGGGAGGACTGTTTGGGCCAGAATGGGGTTGACTTCAAGGCAAGATGGTCAGGCATCTGTTCTCTCAGTTTAAGTACTATGGTTTGGTAGGAAGAGAGAGCAAGCAAGTCTCTAATAGTACTTTCTGCTAGAAAGGGATGATGGTCCTAAGAATGAAGGGTCTGAAGGAGGAAGGCAGATTTAAGATGTTATTGTGAAGTGATCCTGTCAGCCAATACCTTCTGGAAAGCATAATAAAGCAAAGGAGGAAGAGGAGTCCCAGGATGTTCATGATAATCAGGAGAAACAAAAGGAACAACCTAAAATGTGAAAGGTTCATCATGAGATGGAGGAACTGCTGAAGAGAAATGGCTCTGTCATTTATTATTTTAATTTAATTTTATAAGCATGCCTGCCACCCACAAAGGCCAGAGGAGAAGGCAGGAGTTCTCCAGAAACAAGCTTTAAAGGTGGCTGTGAGCCACCACGTGGGTCCTGAGAACTGAAGCCAGGGCCTCTGGAAGAGCAAAACTTGCTGTTAATTGTCAAGGCATCTCTCCATCCCACTGGCACCATTTCTGCCAGAGCGGACAAACAGGTAGAGAAATAGCACTGTTCATTCAGAGCGGTGCATTCAGAAGTGCACAAATAGCCCCATGGGTGGCTTCTAGAAGACAGTTCTGCGTGAGAACAGCAGTTAGGTAACATATCTGGTATTGGAACCTTAGGAGTTAATGTGCACTACTCTTGATGCTCTCTAATAGTTGCTTGGAGAGAAGGGTTACCTGGTTATTCACAAGGTGTAGGTCCCAGTATCCAACTGCATCAGGACTTTCAGGGTTGCTAGGAGAAGGATCATCTGCACTGCTTAGAGGCCCTGATGGAGGCTAAAACCAAGATGGGTACATCAGAAGGGAGAAGAGACTGTGGGGTATAGAAACAAAAGAGAACATTTCCCTTATCTGATTAACAAGGAGGCAAGTGTGGATTTAGAGAGTGCAAGTCCAGAAGATTCCAGTAGTGTACGTCAGGCAGGGGAAAGGTAAGAGCAGGATATCTGGAAGAGCTTCCTTGAGTGTTCACATTTGGGGTGAGTAAGTGTGCCAGGCAGAGATGGAATATCCAAAGTCTAAGGGGTGGTATGGCAGTCTGAAGGGGACACCTCCAAGGTTAAGTTCTGAGGTTATTGGATTTTAACAATGGTATTTTAGAGAAATTATGGGCAAGAATCAAATAGCAGGTAGAGATGGAGTTGGAGAGAGACAGAGGAGGACCAGGAGTTTGAAAAGAAGGACAAGGGGAAGTGAGGACAGTGACCTCCTCCCTAGCAGCTGAAGGATCTGGCTTTGGTCACTGATTGCTTAAAGGTGGACACTTCAGTTAGTCTAAGGAGTTCACCAGACTGAAGAGAAAGAGGTGTGCCGGTGTGGTAGAAAGTGTCGTTAGCTTGAGGCTGCACAGAGAGGAGTGAAGGCTGCCAGCAGGTATGGAGAAAGGAAACACAAGGGATGCGAAGGGGGACTTGGCAGGCCAGGCAAAGGGGCCTTTGGGTTGGCCTCCTAAAGAGATGTTGAGGGGGTTGTAGGCAGGTAAGAAATCTCTGGAGATTAAGTATAGTGACCTGACGGCAGAAGTCTTTGCCTCAAATCCAGTCATCCCGTGCTCACATTCAGTTTCAGGTTTGCTATCAGGCATGGTGCAGTTCCCCTGTTGAAGAAAGCCAAGCAGGTATGGAGCAGGAAAGCCCAGTCTGCTACCAGGGACACATAAACATAGTGCCAACATGAGGAGAACAGGGAGGAGTTATGGAAGTTCATGAGGTTGATGGGTAGAAAGACAGTCTCGATGAAGTATGTAAGTTAGAACCCCTGTCTGAGGCAGGGAGAGTAGTAGAAGGGACAGGTTGGGAAGTGGATCAGAGAGTATGTCATCAGCCCTCCTTGTCCTCCAGGATGCAGTTGAGACATATCGAGCTGGGTCTTTTGGTTAGGTACTAGTAGGACTCTTGAAATAGGTCTCCTGAAATTCAAACTCTGGTTGAGCTGAGCTGTTCTGCCTGTGTGATGGGGTGAGGTGGGGGGAGGAGATGAGTGATGTAGACAGAGAAAAGAGAGAGTGGGGCTCATCCTGGTCCTAGACTGCTAGGCCAGCCCAGAGTTGGGCCATTCAATTCCCCAGGGAGACAAAGCCTTTGTCTCTCTGATGGCCTTTGCAGTGAATGACAGCATCCCCTTTGGACAATATGAATGCTTCCAGGAGGAGAGGGAAAGGCCTCTCATTGATGATGGTGGTGGCCTTTGGTGTGAGGCAACCTGATTTTCTCCAAATCTAGGAGATGGAGTGAATGATGCTATAAGTAGGTAGGTACATGTAGAATCAGGATAGACGTAACTGCAATGTTCCAGGCTGAGGGTAGGACCCTGGTGAGTGGAGTGAGCTCTGCCTGCTAAGGAATGGTCTTAAGAAGAAGGAAGATTGCCTCCTCCATTCACTGAGAATGAAAGCAGTTGATATTTTTATAATACCCATCAACAACAAAATCCCAACAAGGGGGGGAGGTTATCCTTGAGTGTGCTACCCTCAGTCAACCAATCCAGGGTCCCAGGAATGGGAGTGGAATTGAGCTGGCGAAAAGCCTAAGGGCTTCTTCTACTTACTGTCTTTTTGAGTAACTGTGAGGTGTGTACGTGTGTACGTGTCACAAGCAAGGATATTATCTGTAGCTGGGAGCAGAGTGTCAGAGATTCTGGAGGACAGGCCTGTACAGAGGCTGCAGGGTAGAGAAGGCTGACATACAAGACTGGAGGCAAAGGGAGGAAATAGAGGAGAGGACAGGAAAAAACAGGTTAATGAAACATAGATTGAAGGCTGGGGGGCATAACAAGATCGGCAGTTGCCTGAAGTTATAGATATAAAGCCCCAGCTCTGACACATGGCTTCAGTTTGGTTAGATAAATGGGCTACAGGCTGAAGTGGTTAGTAGGCTAGAGAGCTTAAGGCCTGGTTACATATGTTAGGAAGGTAAAAGTGAACAGTACTTGGAGAAGAAAGCACCCTTGAGACCTAAGAGAGTGAAGTGAGTTTTTGATTTGTAGTGAGGGGGTTGAAAAAGGAGGGAAAAGGAAGAAATTAAGGGTCAGGTCCATTGGGTAGATCAGAACAACTGAACAGTTGACCTGATCTGAAGGCCCTGTATGAGGTGGTGGGAGTCCTTGGATTTAAGGGCTGCAAGGATAGGAGTATTTGGCAGGAAGGAGTTCTGGGGATGAGGATGACTGACACAAGGAAAAAAAAGATGATGTCTTTGAGTCTCAATAGCCCCACAGGGGAGAATAGGTATTGAGGTATTGAGTATACTGAGGAGGTGTCTCTGAGGTAGACATTCACCAGTTAGGAGACCGGGCAATTATTAGACAACTTATGTGCTACACAATGGGGTCTGTCTGGGGAAAAAATCAAGAAGAAAATAAGAGACAGACAAATTTATTTTGGGTTAAACATGAGGGCTCTCATCAGGAAAAGACAATGATAGAGCAAACCTCTGTTCTACAGGTTAGGATTTTTATAGGGCTTGTGGTGGTAGGATAGTCAGTGGTCTGGGCATTTGTTGGCAGAGCTGAATGGCCTTATCAGTAAGATGAGTTGGTGGTGTCAAACTAGGATGTATATGAATGGTATTAATGGTTTTGATGTTGTGGAAACTGAAAACTATCAGTTACATGAAGGAAGAAGATAACATGGCTGCTTAAACAAGACCTGCACAATGATACCAGTTGACATGCCAACATAGATGGGGGAAATTCCATAGGCCCCACCCCTAGATGATATACAGAGGTAGATGATGATATGAGGTACAGGCAATTAAATACTGCTGAGAGAGCTATCACTCTTCTCCAGGGATGAGACCTTAATAGGTTATGCGTTCTCAAGGGCTCAGTGCCAAACACACACACACACACACACACACACACACACTGCATATATATGCAACACTAAACTCAGAATTTTGCATTTATGTGTTTATTTTCATATATACAAATGTATGTACATATATATCACAATAATAAAGAATAAGACCATGGAGTTGAAAGTTATGGAGCATAGGAGGGGCTGGAGAGAAGGGGGAGGGGAGACAATGTAATTATATTTTAATTAAATAAAATGAGTCTTCTCAGGTTGGAATGGGGCTGCCTTCAAGATAAAATGGCTGTTCTTTTGCTCTCTAAGAGATAGTTATTACAGTTAAGACAACCTTTATAGAATCTTTATTCCAAACCAATTGATTTCTACCTGCAAACTGTGCTCCTCTACCTGTCTTCGTCCTCAAAATCAGTTCTTCCATAAATGTTTCCCATATACCAGCTGGAAGTGTTCCGTTCTTCTGAAGGACTGGAATTATAATGTATGTAACTTCACCGTTTGGGGGGAGGGAGAGCACAAACTTAAAATAATCTGAAATGTGCTCTCTGTAGAGTTTAAGCCATCAAAGCCATCGAAATACCATAGGGCTGCATGTGAGCCTTAACTGTAGGCCACTTGCCTAGCATGTGCGAAGGCCCAGGGTGTCAATCTCAGAGCAACTCAGCCCTACCAATATGAGAGAAGGAAAAAATAAAGGAGGCAATGCTGAGCATGTGGTTCATAGTTAGAACCCCAACACTTGGGAGATGAAGACAAGATCACAAGATCCAGATTAGCCTGGGCGAGACAGTGATGCCCTTTTCCTAGAAGGAAAAAATGAATTAAGTAGTGAGTGTTTAAATATTGCTGAGTTGGACAAAGGTGGTATGTATCTCAGCAGAATACTTGTTTGTCATATTCAAATCACTGTGTTCATCCTTAGTACCATGAAAATAAAGAGAAAGAAAGAAATTACTGACAAATATAAGGTCAAATTTTAAGTCAATTTTTCTTCATTTATTTCATTTTTTTTTTTTTTACTTTATATACTTCTTAAGTCATATTCTTTTTTCTTCTCTTCCTCTTAGTTTGGGTTTAGTCCTCACTGTCCTAGCTCATTGATATTGTTTGAGATCTTTCTGTGTTTTCGGATGTAGGCATTCATTGATTTAATCAACTTTCTGTTGTTTCCCTTGAGTTTTGGTGTGCTGTCTTTCTATTTTCATTTGTTTAAAGAAAAATTTAAGTCTCCCTCTTGACTTCTTTGACTATTAGTTGTTCACAATCAAGGTCTTTATTTTCCATGCATTTATACTATTTCCTCAGCTTTCCTTATTATTTCTAGTTTCATTTTATTGTGAATAGAAAAGATAGTCAAGGGTTCAGTGAGTAAAACTGCTTGCCACATATGTATGAGGATCTGAGTTCAAATTCCCAAAACCTACATAATAGCATTTGCATCTATACTTTTAGAACTCTTACAAAGAGATAGGAGGAAGGGGCAGGAGAAAGTCTACTAGCTTACAGGCCAACTTCACTGGAATACGCAGCAGAAAAACAAAAAAGAAACTCTGTCTCAAACTACTTAGAAGACAAGGACCAATTTCAAAGCTTGTCCTCTGACACTACACACATACATTGTACATACACACCCATCATACACATACACAAACACTATCAAAATCATTTCAGTTTTGCCAGACTTTTTGAGAGTCACTTTGTAGCCTGTCCTGAAAATGTTCATGTGCTTCTCCAAAGAATCTGTATTCTGAAATTGGGGGTTAAATATTCTGCAGATGTACACTAAGCATATTTGCTTTAGGATACAATTTAACTCTGTTCTTTCTTTGTTGATATTCTGTTAGGATAATCTGACTATTGCTGAAAGTAGGATGCTGAAGTCTCCAATTATTACTGCATTGGAATCTGCCTCTCCAATTAGGTTAATCATAATTTGCTTTATATATAAAGGTGTTCCAAAATTTCACAGATAGCCCTTTAGAATTCATTATATAATGATACCCTTTGTTTCTTCATATTCTTTTGATTGAAGGTTATTTTTTTTCTGATATAAGTACGGTTACTTCTGCTTTCGTTCAGATTACATTTGCACAAAATATCATATTCTATGCTCTCTTATTCAGTGTGTGTGTGTGTGTGTGTGTGTGTGTGTGTGTTCTTAAAAAAAATAAGTGTGTTTCTTGCAAGCATCCTATAATTGGGTCTTGTTTTACAACCAGTAACACTTTTTTTTCTTAAGATAAGATCTTTTTATGTAGCCCAGGTGGCCTTGAACTACTGATCCTTCTACCTCACTTAAGAAGTACTGGGATTATAGGTATGTGACACCATGCCTGGCACTCTGTATGTTTTAATTAGAAAAGTTTAATACAGAATGATCTTTGACCATAGTAGAATCAAATTATAAATCAATATAAAAAGAGCATAAATGTTTATCAGATAGGAATTAAATGATACATTTCTAAATTATTCATGGTCAAAGATGAAATCTCAAAGAAAAACACATTTAATGTTCAGAACTATAGTCATGAAAGAAACTCAAGTCTATACATTAAAAAACACTTAGAAATTTCCATTCCCAGATGGTTTCACTGGAGAATTCTACAAATAATTTAAATAGAAATTAACAGTGAGTTACATCTCCCTTTCAAGAAAATAGACACTAAAATAAAACCATAAACCAAGCCAACCAAAATGGCATGTATAGTTGTCTCAACTACTCAAGGCTGAAATGATAGGATCCCTTAAGCCCAGAGGTTTTGGTCCAACCTGGGCCTTATAAAAAGAAATCTGTCTCCTAAAAATAAATAAGATATAAAGAGACTGATCAGCAGTTAAGAGCACTGTATGCTCTTGCATAGGACCTTGTTTCAATTCCTAGTACCAACATGGCATTTCACAACTGTCTCTAACTCCTTTTCCAGGGGATCTGACACCCTTATACAGACATGTAAGCAGGCAAAATACCAATCTACATAAATAAAAGTAAATAACTTTTTAAAAAAATAAATAAAAGAGCCAGGCATGTTGGCACATGCCTTTAATTCCAGCACTAGGGAGGCCAGTTTTGAGGCCATCTTGGTCTACAAAGTGAGTCCCAGGACAGCCAGGACTGATACACAGAGAAACCCTGTCTTGAAAAAACAAAAATAGAAAGTGTTAAACTTATAAACAAGAAATCTATTTTTTAAAAATTTGTAAAAATAAATAATAGGAGAAGATCTTTGTGATCTTTGTTGAGGCAAACTTGTGATACCAAAATCATAGGCCACAAAATGAAATAGTGGTAAATTTGACCACTCAAAGTCTAAAGCTTTTACTTTTCTACCCTCTAAAAAGGATGAAAAGTATAATTTTCCTAAAGTATTCATATTAATAGTCTAGACTTTCTCTCATGTGAACTCCTTACATTCCTAAAGACACAGCCTGTAGGTCTCAGCATGTATTTCTGCTGTGTAGAACCAAATTGTTGAACTATGAATGTAGAACTCATTGTTGTGTTATGCAACAAAATGGTTCGTGCAGAGAAAATAGTTAAAGTTAATTGCTGACAAATCATGTGTTTTACAGGCTGTAAATATAGTTGGGGTTGGAATGTTTGGAGGAACTGGAAAAATAACTACACCTGGAACTGTCCCAGCAGTAGTTCCAATGTTACAAGAAGTTGAAAACAAATTGCCTGCCAAATTGTCTTCAACTTGCCTAGCTATCCAATGGGAGGAGCCAGACTGCCATGGCTCTCCCATCACCGGATATAACATTGAATATGGAGATAAAAAAATCTTGACTGTCAAAACAGTAACAGAGCATGTCCTGAAAAATCTACAACCTAATACTACATATAGGTAAGTCACCCATATCTTATTTGGGTAAATGGAAAGAATGTTGAGAATTTCGAGCAGATCTACATGTCTGTATTTAATACACTTCAGATTTCTTTTAAAGATAGTTCTGCTTTATTAGTGAAATTTAGTAATAGCAAGAGCCCATTTCTGCTTTTTATCAATAATTTTCAATAGTAGCTATATTAGGAAACGGCCTTGTAATCAGTATGATAGTCATTCTATGTAGAGATGTAGAGGGTTGGCTTACATGAAGAAAATAATTTTATATATTAAATATAAATTCATATATTTTAATTTATTTTTACCACTAGAATCAGAATTCAAGCTATCAATCATTATGGACTAGGCCCTTTTAGCCCACCAATTAGAAGCAAAACCAAGCCACTACCACCAGATCCTCCACCTCTTAATTGTGCGGTCTACAGACACCAGAGTCTCAGACTCAAATGGGGCACCTCCTCAAGCAAAAAACCACTTGCCAACTTTATAAGCTACAACTTATTCATGGAAGATCGATATGGCAGGTAACTAGTTTTGCCATTTAATACCTACTACAATAAAAAGCAGTTTAAATTGTCATGTCTTGCCAGGCATTCTCTCTCTCTCTCTCTCTCTCTCTCTCTCTCTCTCTCTCTCTCCTCTCTTGCTCTCGCTCTCACTCTCTCTCAAACACACACACACACACACACACACTCAATATTAATCCAAAATAATTTCAGTTCCTGTTGCTGTGTGAAACAATACTTTCAAATATTGTCCATGTTTAAGCTGTATCTTTTCTCTTCTTCCTCATTTTCCTTTACCCAGTGCAGTGTAAGTACCGAAGAATAGAAGTCATGGGAGAAAAAAAAAAAAGCCCAGCATCTTGACAGTATATGATCTTAAGACCTGGTTTCCTTCGGCCTTTTTGTTTATTTTACCTTACTGGCTTAATTTGACTTCCTGGGCTTAACTGTTGATGATAATGTTGCTTTATTAATCTTTATCTTTTTTCTCTCAGATTTTCTGTCATTTATCAAGGGTCTGATTTGAATCACAAAGTGCAAAAATTGAGTGAATATACACAATACAAGTTTAAAATCCAGGCATGTAATGAAGCTGGTGAGGGACCAGAGTCTGATATCTACACTTTCACTACTACAAAAACCCCACCTCCTGCACTTAAAGGTAAATAGTGTACAGAGACACTAAACATTTTATTAATTTCTCTACAGCACATATATAAAATTGATCAGTTACTAGAAAATACTGTATTAAAAGAAGTAACCAGGCTCAGAAAGATAAATGACACATGTGCTCTCTCATATGAAAACTCCTGCTTCTAAATTTTTATGTAAATATATTTAAGTGACAATAATGATGACCCGAGGCCAGGAAACTAGAAATCATAAGGTAGGGGGGGAGACTCTAAAAAAGGGGATATTGAGGGCATCGAACACATATAATGGGAAAGTGGACGTGGGAATACTGGATGTTGAGGCGTACAAGTAGGATGAGGAATTAGGAAGCTGGGATGAACAGCAACTGGGGGACTTAAGGAAACCTATTATTTTATTATTTTATTTTGTTTGCTGATTGAAAATTAAATATTGGGGCTGGAGGGATGGCTCAGTGGTTAAGCACACTCGGTACTCTTCTAAAGGACCAGGGTTTGAGTTCCAGTACCCACATTGCAGTTTACAATTGTGTGTTCCAGGAAATCCACTGCCTTCTTCTGGCCTCCACAGGTACCAGGCACACAAGTGGTACAGACATACATTATGCAGGCAAACAAGTACACACATAAAATAAATAAATAATTTTAAAAGTAAATTATATCTTTAAAAAATTTAAAAGTAGTAATTTTTAAAATTTACTAATAGATTACAGAAACAGGTAGTACTTAATTATGGATTTAAGGGGCAATGTAAGATTTATTAAGACTTCAGGCCTGGTTGTGGTGGCCCATGCCTTTAATCCCAGCACTCAGGAGGCAGAGGCAAATGTATCTCTGTGAGTTCAAGGCCAGGCTAGTCTACAGAGTGAGTTCTAGGACAGCCAAGGTTACACAGACAAACTCGGTCTTGAAACACCGTGAAAATGGCTTAATAAGACACTCACAATCAATATTTTTCAATCAATATTTATCTTAGTAATCATCTAATTCTACCACTGCCGCTTTTAAGAGTAAGACAAGGAGCTGAAGAAATAGCTCAGAGGTAAAGAGAAATTATTGCTCTTTCAGAGGACCCAAGTTCAATTCCCAGCATCCACTTGGTGGTTCAAAACTATTCATAACTCCAGTTCCAGGGGATCCAATGTCCTCTCTGACCTCTGGGAACAACAAACACACACACTGGTGCCCATGCCTATATGCAAGCAAAACAGACATAATATAAAATTAATAAATCTAATAAAGATTTAGAAAAAAATGTGAGACAGTAAGTCCCACAGATGGGAGGCAACTTGGCTAAAGGAGTCTCTGAATCCACAGCAGAGCCATGATTAGAACTGCTGGCTCTTCATTTCCAGAATGGTGGGTCTTTCACATTGTCATATCTACTCATTGCTACACATTATATTTTCTCAGATGGTTTGTTGTGGGGAAAAAAAATCAATTGACAGGTTTAGCTATACTTATTAAAGCTAAAATTTACATGTAAACTTTAAAAAGTTTATTTCTAAAACTATGAATTTATTCTCCTTAACATTATGGTGGGGTCCACCAGAGAAGACTGCTCAGACATGGGTTTAAAGCCAATAGAAAGTCGTTATTAGCCGGCCAGAGACTGGGTTTTGGGGATTCCAGTATAGCACTGAGCCTTTCTCAGGGTGAGCTTTTAAGCACACCTGGGTATGCTTAAGTATGTCCTGGGTTGACATACTCCATCCAGTTAACAAGAACATTTAGCCAGAAGTAGAACTACAGAAGCCAAAAGCAAGGTTAGTGCATTTAGAGACTTTCCAGAACTATGGACTTTGATGGGTAAGGCCTTTGTTTCAGATTTGGCAGGTGGTGCTGTCTAAGCGCTGAGTTTTATGGCCTGGATGGTACTTCCACCATGGAGTCAGTTGTGCTAAGGTCTAGGGGCCTGTTACAGTCAGAACAGTAAAATATTATATGTCACACTAACAATAAGTCCAAGTTCGCAGTTCTCAGAACCTCGGGTTTGAGGATTATTTTCCCTTTTCCAGTTGTGATGTTTGATTGATCTAATATTTCCACATGAGTTCAATAACTATTTTTTATCTATTTATGTACATCAATGTTTTGCCTGCATGTATGTAACTGAGAAGGTGTTAGATGCCCTAGAACTAGAGTTATAGACAGTTATAAGCTGACATATAGGTGCTGGGAATTGAACCTAGGTCCTCTGAAAGACTATCCTGTGCTCCTAACTGCTGAGCTATCTCTCTAGCCCCCAAGTTCAATCACTAATATGAATCCATTCCTGTTCACATTTGAGTTTAACTACTCATGCTTAGATGAAAATAATTATTTCTTCTTTTTCTGACTACTCTCCCTATATATTTAAGCCCCATTTTCTTGAAATGTAGAGACTAACAACATGAAATGATTAATCTGCTCCTTCCTACTTCACACAATTGCTGAACTCTTTAAAAAAATCATTTATCCATACATGAATGCTAAATATACAATGTATCATATAAATATACAATGTATCATATAAATACAATGCAGATTATTCTAGAAGGAAAGAGAGAAAATTAAAATTTATAAAATATGAATAAAAAAATCTAAACAAGAATTATCAAGTTACAACTTCGAAGGTTTTTCTTCAATCATGATACCTGATGGTAAAACAAAAGTTTTTCCAATAATAAGTATAGTTCTGTTGGGAGTGTTGGTGCATGCCTTTAATGTCAGCACAAGGTGGGCAACAGCAGGGGAATATCTGTGTCAATAAGGCTAATCTTGTCTTCAGAGCAAGTTCCAAGCTAGCCACAGCTGCATAGAGAGACCTTTCTCAAAATACATGAATATCTTTTTTTTAAGTATGCTTATCTATTTCTCATATTAGGTCTACAAGTGTTTGTAATGACTATATACTTGTATGAGTCATTTCAATGTATTCACCATCATTTAGAAAAAGGTAGAACCTTCTAAAATGTAATTTTCCTTTTCCAGCACCTAAATTTCATGTACTGCATAACAACAGTTGTGAGATAAAATGGGAGTCCTTGCAGCCAATGAAAGGTGATCCCATTGTTTACTGTCTTCAAGTCACCAATGGAAAAAAGACTGAACAGGTACACGCTCTCAAATTTAGCCTTTACCATTCTGCCAGCCACGGTAGCACATGACTGTAGCCTCAGCACTTGTGGAGTAGAGGCAGGAGGATAGCGGTGCACTTTGGCTACATAGCAAGTTTGAGGGTAGCCTGGGCTCTAGGAAACCTTGCTTTAAAAAAAAAAAAAATCTGAGCAGTAGTGGCACGACCCTTTAATCCCAGCACTCCAAAGGCAGATCTCTTAGTTCTACGTCAGCCTGGTCTACAGAAGTTCCAGGATGGCCAGGGCTACACAGAGACACCCTGTCTCAAAAGAATGTGTAAGTCTATGTCTAACTGAGGTTTGAGCTTTTGGCGAGGAATGTGTTCTTTTTAAGGTGCTTAAAGTAACTAAATCTTATTCCAAAGTTCCATCTTATCTATAACATTTATGTACATAATCTTTATTTGGGGACAACTAGCTTATTCATTTAATTAAGTCATTACCATTGAATTGTTTAGTATTTCTTGATTCCACTAGCCAAGATACATGATTCAAATACATAATGTAATCAAACTTTAACAATTGTAGGGTTTTGCTATGCTTCATTGAACATAGTTATCTAATTAATACTGAATTCCTTCAGAACATCAGAAACATTGAGGAAAATTTTACTCTTGTTCTGAATATGTTCATGAAACTAATGAATTTTTGTTTTTCTTGTCATTAAAAAAAACTATACAATATATATTTTTAATTGGAAAGAAACTAAAATTTTCATTTAATCCCTTTTTCTTTAGATTTACAAAGGACCGAACACTTCTTTTACCTTTTCCAACTATCTTGCAAATTCACGATATCGCTTCAAGGTCTGTGCTGGACGCCAATATGAATATTCAAATGGCATGCAAGAGCTCTGGGGGCCATATAGCCCCAGCACACTTTTTTCGACTTATAAGCATCACTCCAAGAATGGCAAAGGCAGTGGAGGTAAAGGAAAAGGCAACCACAATGAGAAAGATGAAAAGTACAAGACAGAGATAAGTGATGATACCTTTGTTCTAATCCTTCTGATAGGATTTGCACTTATTGCCATTTTGTGTGCTGTTGCAATTCAGTACTTCCTGATTAACTAGTCTATTCTTTTAGGAAGTAAGAACATAAATTATATCAAATTTAGAAAACCTTTGATGCATCTTAACTCATTCTTAAAGATAAAACTAATTGATAGAAACTAATAACAGCAAAAAAAAACCTAAAAAAAAAAGAAAAAGAAACCTGCCTTAATTTTAAGAATTTTTTGTGACAGTAAAGGAGATTTTTAAGAAAACAGGTGTACCTTGAATTTTATCATTTTGTCAACAAAACATTACATGGTTATGTAAAACTAAGACCTTTTGTTGAAACTATTACCTGGTTTAACTATGATATAACAGTATTTTGGAATTTTATTTAGAACAAAATGAGAAAAATTACTTCTAAGTGTCCAGTTAACATCCATATGAAGTAATAAAAAGCATCTACCAAGCTTTTGTACTCTTATTTGTTCAAAATAATGTATTCAGCTATTGGTTTCTGCCCTGACATTTTGTGTGTTAGTTTGGATTATCTAAGGGAACAAAACTGACAGAATGAGTACAGATATTAAAGGGGGATTCATCAGACTGGCTGACAGGATATGGTCTGGATAGTCCAACAACAGCTGTCTTACGACAAAAAGGCCAAGTATTAGTAGTTGCTTCATCTCCAAGGCCGATGTCTCAAGCCAGTCTGGTTCTGGAGCCCCTGAGGATTCCTGCAGAGCTGCTGGTTTTCAGACTGCATTGGAATCCTGAAGAAGGTGGATTTAATACTGACCATAGAAACAGGAGAGATAAAGTTGCCAGGGAGAGTGAGGAAAAGCAGGTAAATGTTTCCTTTTCCTGTGTCCTTAGAAAGTGTGGCCCTGATTTAGGGTGGGTCTTTCCGCTTCAAATAATTGAATTAAGGAAATCTCTCACAAGAGTACCTAGAACTTTGGGTTTTGGTTGACTCCAAATGCATTCATATTGACAACCAAGATTAGTCATTATGCTTTCATAGTGGAGAAATAGTAATTTATAGCACTTTTCTATAATAGGAACTAGGAGAAATGAAGTGAGGACAAGGAGTACAATTCTATAACACTGTAAGCTCTTAAAAATACACCTGTGCTGGTTACCCTCTCAATGGTATTGTTGAATATTGTATACACAATCATATTTATTCATGTGTATACAACTTATTATAATTGTTTTCTCTCAAAATAGATGGATTCATATACATTTCTATTTACACATGAAGCATCTCACCTAAGTTCCCACAGTTCACGCTCCAGGAGCTTTTCTCAAAGTCTGTCAATAAACTTACTGCCCTCACTGAAAATGTTTAAAATGCTACCTTCTATTTCAGTGGTTTTATTAATGTTTTAAAACTGAATGTGTTAAATTCTATAAGACAATATACATGTGTAATGGCCACTGACAATTTTGCCATATTCTGTGATATAAGCCTTTTGATCAGTGATATTATGAAAGTACCAGCACATGGAACCAAGGCACAACCTAGCTCCCACAGCCCTAGGGAAGGGCCTATCGTGTCCACACACAGCCAGACTCGACCATGCTCTTCTGCCTACTCAAAGAACACCAGACCAAGCAGAATGAATTCAAGCAGCTGCAGGAGAAAAGGAGGCGAGAAGCTATCACTGCAGTGGCCTGCCCAACCTTTGGTGGATCACCTCAATGTGGGTGTAGCCCAGGCCTACATGAACCAGACAAAGCCAGACCATGAAGACACTACAGGTCCAGGCTGCCCAGTTTGTCAAGCAGACAGGCCAGTGGATTGGAAAGGTAGAGAATTTCAACCAGGCACTTAAGGAAATTGGGCATGTGGAAAACTGGGCTAGAAGCATCAAGCTGGACATGCGCACCATAGCCACTGCTCTGAAGTATGTCTACAAAAGGCAGCTGCAGTCTGCTTCATCCTAGAGTAAAACCCACCCCTCTTATCTCACCCTCCTGGACAAGAGGGAGCTGGTGGGCCATGAATAAAGACACAAGCTTCCAGTCAAAAAAATGTCCAGTACATTTTGATACATACTGGCTCAGTCTTTCACTAAGAAAAATAACTGTTAGTCCATAAGACAATTGCAACAAACCATTTGCATTCCTCTTGATTTCTGAGACTAGCTTGTAACCTTTGCAATAGATTTGATGTTGTAAAATAAAAGGTTATTAAACAATAGTACAATCCTATCCATAATAAGCCCATTGACTAAGAAAATTGACTGAGCTGAGCAGTGGTGGCACAGGCCTTTAATCCCAGCACTCAGGAGGCAGAGACAGGCAGATCTCTGAACTCAAGGTCAGCCTGGTCTACAGACTGAGTTCCAGGACAGCCAAGACTACACAGAGAAAGCCTGTCTTCACCACCACTCCCAGGAAGAAAGAAAAGAAGAAAGAAAGGAAAAAAGGAAGAAAGAAAGAAAGGAAGGAAGAAAGAAAGAAAGAAAGAAAGAAAGAAAGAAAGAAAGAAAGAAAGAAAGAAAGAAAGAAAGAAAGAAAGAAAGAAAGAAGGAAGGAAGAAAGAAAGAAGAAATAGTGAAAATAGTGGCTAGCATAGATGCATGATTGACTATTACTCAGCTGTAAAGAAATACAAAATCCTGTCATTTGTAGCAAAATTTTTAGAACTGAAAGATAGCCTGTAATGGTAGGGCACAGTATTTTACCTCCCACCCTTATAGCACCCTGGAAATAATTACTCATGAGACTCAAGTATTATTTTACAAATACCTAGGTCATATAGCTAAGCTCTTCTCTGACTAGCTCATAACTTAAAATAATTCATTTATTCTAATTACAGTCATCCACGTGGCCAGTTACCTGACCTCAGGCACCATGTGTTCATCCTCTTCATATCTTGACAGCTGAATCTTCTGCACCTGGCTCTCACCCAGAATCCATTCTACCTGCCGGATGTCACACCTATTTCCTGCCTCAGCCATAGATCATAGATTTTTTTTTAATTGATAAGTGTTGCATCCATACAATACACAAGATATTCTTTCTACAAGTCTCCTTTTCAGTCCAATAAAAGTTTCTTTTTCTTTTAATAATAAACTAACAAACAATAATTGTGGAACAGTTATGAAAACTATTAGGTAATATTTACATTCACAATGCCCAGTCCATATGCATTTGGCAACTTAGGAGAAACTATTCTATTATGTATCTTATCTTGATGAGTTTAGAGTTCTGTACCTCAATCATTTTCTATCCTTATTTCCATTATCAAACTAAAAATGTCTTCTTAAGCCCAAAATATCTTAACTCCTAAACAATTAAGCTTAATTGTAAGACTATAACTATCTAGTCTTCAAACCCATCAGAGACTTGAGAAGGAAATAAACATTATCTAAGTTTATTGGCAGTACAGGCAAGGAGCTTCTAATATTAAGAATTGTCAGACAACTGGCTCCCTAGACAGTCACGCAAATTTTCTCTATAATGTTGGAGCATCATCTTCAGCCTTCTGGCCCAGAATATCTGACAGACATATTTGTAAAACAGGAATTATGAAGGACTTGCTTACCTGTCTTGGCAGAGCTTGGCAGTCAACTTCCCTACTTCCAATGTTTGCCCATTGCAGACTGCACTTATCTGCAGTGAAGCAAGAGAATTTTTGCCCAGTGGCTAGCTTGCCACAATTGGAGCCATCTCCTAATGGAGATTCTTCAATGCTCATCAACTTCTTTCAAGTTGAATGGGGTGCTGCCAAGAGCTGACACGTCTCGTTTCCAGAAAAGCCTTAAAATAATAAAAATATCTTTAAATGGCATATTCTATATGTCTCTAGGTTTTTGAAGACCACCCATTTATCTATACACATTTACATAGTGTTTAATCATTATCTATCTATAGTAAATCTGAATAGGCAAATGTTACTTGTTTCTAGCTATTCACTATTAGTTTAACCTAGGATGTATATTTTGTGATAAACTAGGCAAGTGACTGACATGACTATGAGTTTGACTGACTATTAACTTATAATACATAAGTATCCTAAAGTTTGTAATAGCAGCTTTTAAAAGGACTGGAAGTAAACCCTTTATTTTAAATGAGTACAATGGTCCAATACCTTGTAAAAGAGTTGAAACATAATTACGTTGTAACAAAAATAACCTTAATTCTTGTTTCAATGTTCAAAGATTTATACCAATGAAAACTTTAAATTTGTATTAATATAGAAAATTCTAAATCAATGTAAGATTATTGATTTATAAAAACATTCTTTGGTTTAAGTGTAGATTCATCAAAGAATTTACCTTCTTCTCAGCACCTCTTGGAACCTTCTCCAAAATAGATCATATAGTTGGTCACAAAGCAAGCCTCAACAGATACAAGAAGATTGAAATAATCCTTTGTATCTTATAAGACCATCATAGAATAAAGCTGAACCTCAACAACAACAGATATAGTGAAAAGCCTAAACACACATGGACACTTAGCAACTCTCTACTCAATAACAGCTGGGCCAGGGAAGAAAAAAAATTAGAGACTTCCTAAAATTCAATGAAAATCAAGGCACAACATACTCAGACTTATGGGACACAATGAAAGCAGGGCAAAGAGGAAAATTCATAGCACTAAGTGTCTTCAAGAAGAAATTTGAAACATCTCATTCAAGCAACTTAATGGCTCACCTGAAAGCCATAGGGGGAAAAAAAAAGAAACAAACACACCCAAGAGGAGTAGACAGCTGGAAATAATCAAACTCAGGGCTGAAATCAATAAATTAGAAACAAATAAAATAATTCAAAGAATCAATTAAACCAAGAGCTGGTTCTTTGAGAAAATCAACAAGATAGACAAACCCTTAGCTAAACTTACTAAAAGGCAGAGAGACACTATCCAAATCAATAAAATCAGAAATGAAAAGGGGAACATAACAAAAGACACTGAGAAAATCCAATCATTAGGTCTTACTTCAAAAGCCTATAGACCACAAATTTTGAAAATCTAAATAAAATGGACAATTTTCTTAATTGATTCCACTTACCAAAACTTAATCAAGACCAGGTAAATAAACTAAATAGTCCTATATCCCCTAAGGA